GGGGCGGCACCTGGAGGGGGGCGGCGCGGGGCTCTGGCCGCCGGGGAAAGCGGGACCACGGCCGGGCTCACCGCCCTCCCCGCAGCGCTCTGGCCGCCCTCCCCCGCGGCGCCCTCCCCCCGGCCGCCGGGGGGAGAGCGGAGCCCCCGCCGGGGCTCGCCGCCCTCCTCCCAGGGCTCCGGCTGCTCCTCCCCCGGCGTTTGCTCGGGGACGCTCCTGAGGGACCCCAGAAATGCCCCCACCTCCCTCGCTGCAGCACCCTGGGACTCCGGCTCTGTGCACCAGGAGCTCCCCACCCTGACTGCAGCTGCCTGGACCCTCAGCCAGCCCCACTGAGCTCGACCCCAGGGCCAGACCTTCCGGGAGCAGGGTGCGGGCCGAGGCTTTGGGGATCCCGCTGTACGTCAGCCCACAACAGAGCCAACTGGAAACTTGTGCCCTGCCCCCAAGGGTCTGCGCTAGTCACTCGCTGGCCCTACCCTGCCCGTGGGGCGAGCGGTCTGCCAGAGCAGGCCTCTGGGCCCCACACCCTTCCGGGCCTTGGGCCCCCCACTGTCCCCCCATTGCACGCACCGTGAAGAAGATGCTGGCGATGCTGAAGAGCAGGCGAATCAGCCAGTTGAAGTGGCGCATGATTTCTGTCCTCACGATGCCGGGGTTGAGGGAATTGGCCGTCACCCCTGTAGAGGAGCAGAGTCAGTCACTGCGTGGGCTCTGGGGACAGCACGGGGGGCAGGGTCCTATAGCCAGACCCCCTGGAGCCCTGAGGGGCCAGGGGGTGAGTTTTGTACTCGCCAGCCTAGAGCCAGGGGCCTGTTTATTCCTCGAGCAGGTGCCGCCCAGACACGCTCCAACATGCTTTCCCCAGCCTGGGAGGCCCCCTGCCCTGGGGGGCCAGGCCCTTTCAGAGGCGCTAGACTGAGCCCCACCTGTGCCCAATTACCCGCCTCCCCGGTGCTTGTTGGGTCAGTGACCAGGCCTCACAGGATGATGCGGGGGAGTGATTAGGAGCTGAGGGCAGGCTCTGGGGAAGAGAGAGACAGCTGGGTTCAGGGGAGCATGAGACCCCCAGGGGCCGGGACGCAGCTCTCCATGCCAGCCAGGCGGGATGGCCCGGAGCCATCCGCAGGGCTGAGCAGGAGCAACCCTTCCGCGGGGCGCTGGGCCAGCAGCCTGGCGAAGACGCTGGGAGTCTCTGGGGGTTCAACTGGTTCTTTGATGCTAATAAAACAGGCCCAGCCAGGCGAGTGACTCAGAAGCCCCAGGTATCCAGGCCTGTCTGGCAGCAAAGAGACGGGGTGTGACGAAGTGGGACTGTTCTTAATGTTTTCCTCAGTTTCCCCTATGCAGTTCTTAAGTATCTAGGGGGTGGGATAAGGGTGTATGGTTGCTGCAGAGCAAAGGGCCAGGGTACATAAATGCCCGACACTCTGTCTCCTGGCAACTGATGGCCTGGGCCCCTCCTCTGCAAAGGTGCCAACTGAAGGTGTGGGAGAACAAAGAGGTCAGGTGACCTCCTGGCCTGGGAAAGAGACAAAGCCCAGAGAAGGAGTGGCTGGACTGGAGTTTGGAGCTAGCTAGGGACTGGAAGGGAGGGCAGACGGGGGTCTGCCTCGCTGGGCCCCAGAATGGACCCAGCGGAGGGGTCCCGTTCGCTGGACCTACAAGCTCTGTTTTAGACCATGTTCCTGTCATCTAATAAACCTCTGTTTTACTGGCTGGCTGAGAGTCACGTCTGACTGCGAAGTGGGGGGTGCAGAACCCTTTGGCTTCCCCAGGACCCCACCTGGGCGGACTCGCTGTGGGAAGCGCACGGAGGGGCATATGCTGAATGCTCCCAGGAGAGACCCAGGAGGTGAAGCCATGTGAGCTTCTTGCCCTGAAGATGGTCTGCTCCGAGGGAGAGGAGGCTCCCCAAAGTCCTGACTGGCTTTGTGGGGAGCAGTCCCAGAGCATCGCCCGGGGACTCCGTGACACGGGGTAGGGCCAGGGTCTGGCACAGATGAGGCAAGACCTATCCCAGCCCCTTCTCACAGGATTCTCCCGCCTGGGTCTCATGCTTCCAGGGTGAGGCAGGCTGGGAACGCCCACAGCTGCACCCCCACTGGCCCGTCCTTCCCTCAGAGACGCTGTGGGGTGCAGGAGCCTGGGCCAAACTGCCATTAGCACCTCCCGCTGCCTACACCCACTGGTGGCCGCCGGCCCTGCTTCTGTGTGTCACCACGGTGCCGTGCCAGTGACTGAAACTCTGAGCACCCAGTGGCTACAGCAGTGGGGCTCTTCCTACAGGGCAGAGGGAGCAGGCTGTGGGGAAACCATGCCTGGGGGGCGGAGGGGAGATATCCAGGCAGCCTATGCGATTCCTGGATTAGGCCTTCCGGGACGGGGGAAATCACTTCAGTGGAGCAGAGACCGTCCAGCCCTGCACGGGGCGTGCAGCGGGGAACGGAGCCGTGTCTCTCTCATAGGGACTGAGGTGTCTCTGGGCCGTTCCAGCACCCCAAACTCTGGTGCCGATGGCTGTGCTTCCCCAGAGTGGTTCTGAGATGCTTGGCGCCCAACCCTGCTGCCGGAGCAGTGGCAGCTCTCCCCCCAGGTGATCGCTCACCACGAGGGCACCTTGCCCGAGGCCAGCCCCCAGCCTGGTGTGCTCAGAAGGGCACACGCACTGTTGGGAACGGCTTGTGGGGTAGAGCAGGCAGGGCCACGTGCCTCTGTTTCCCAGGTTTCTGACGTTTGAGTTTTGCTGAACTCAGCATTCGGGAAGAGCCCGACATACCCCAGGGCAGCCCGACCTCTGCAGGTGTAACCCACACAACTCCTGGGTCCCGCTAGTGGCACCAAGACCACTTAAAGAGAGAGCGAAAATGAGTCGGCTTAACAGCCAGTTGGCTTTTAGCTCGTGCAATAGAGGCTCATGCACTGAGGTCCCAGGTTCAATCCCACCCGCCGACGACGGGGGTCTGTCGGGGTTACACAGGCACAAAGGGTTTGTCAGTACCTGACGGTCAGGCCAGCTCCGATGCAGAGACAGGTTAAGTAGGGGGCACCTTGCAGACGGTGGCTACTGTGGTATCATGGGGGAGGGGAGAGAAGCTCATAGAACCGTAGAGTTAGAAGGGACTGCACGGGTCATCTAGTCTAACCCCTGCCAAGATGTGGTGTCTGACCCATCCCAGACAGACTCTCCAGCCTCCTTTTGAAACCCTCCAGTGAAGGAGCTTTCACGACCTCCCGAGGCGTCTGTTCCACTGACCGACTGTTCTCACAGTGAGGAAGTTTGTCCTGAGATTTCATCTAAATCTGCTGTGCTGGAGTCTTTCAAGTATCTGAAGTCCACTATCACGTCCCCCCTTAATCTTCTCTTTTCCAAACTAACATACCTGTTTCTTCAGCCTTTGCTCGTACGGCTGCATTCCATCCCTTTGATCAGCTTTGTCGCTCGCCCCTGGAGCCTTTCCAGTTTCTCTACATCCTTTCTATACATTGGTGACCAGAACTTCAGCTGAGGCCTACCCAGCGCTGTCACCTCCTGTGACTTGCAGGCGAGGCCTCTGTTAATACAACCTGAGATTGCATTTGGGTTTTTTGCAACAGCATCACATTGCTGACTCATGTTGAGGTTGGGATCCACCCCAACTCCCAGATCCTTCCCAGCAGTGCTGCTGCCAAGCCAGTTTCCCCCCGTTCTGTATTTGTGCGTTTGTTTTTTCTTCTCTAAGTGTAGCACCTTACATTTGTCTTTCTTGAATTTCATGTTGTTGTCTATAGCCCAGTTCTCCAATTTATCAAGATCCCTCTGGATTTTAGCTCTAGCCTCTGAAGTGTCTGCAACCCCCTAGCCTTGTGTCATCTGCAAACTTGATCAGTCTGCTCTATTCCTACATCCAGGTTATGAATAAAGATGTTAAATAACGTTGGACCCAGAACAGATCTCTGTGGAACCCCACTTGAGACCGCCCTCCAATCTGACATCATTCCATTAACAGTTACTCTTTGTTTGTGGTTGTTTAGCCAATTATGTATCCACCTAATGGTAACTCTGCTGAGCCCACATTTCTCCAGCTTACTTATCAGAATGTCATGTAGGACTGTGTAAAACGCCTTGTTAATATCCAGGTATATTATGTCCACCACCCACTAAATCAGTTACCTTGTCAGAGAAGGAAATCAAGCTGGTTTGGCATGCTTTGTTCTTGGTAAATCCATGGTGGCTGCTAGTGATCACACCCTTTATCCTCCAGGTATTTGCTGAGGGAATGTTTTATACATGGCTGTAGTAGCTTCCCAGGTATGAAGGACAGGCTGACTGGTCTATAGTTCCCTGACTCCTCTGTTTTCCCCTTTTTAAAGACGGGCACTACCTTAGCCCTTCTCCAGTCTTCTGGGACCTCTCCTGTCAGCCATGAGTTTGTAAATATTATTGCCAGTGGCGCCGAGATTTCTTCAGCCAATTCCTTCAGCGCCCTGGGGTGACTGGCACCAGCCCTGCTGACTTGAATTCATTCAAATTAGTCAGAAGATCTCTGGCATGTTCTTTACTTATCCGGATCTGCATCCCTTCCCCTGTAGTGCCTATGGTAAGTTGGCTAGCTGTCTGATCAGATGATATTTTTGTGAGCAGACTGAAGCAAGGTAGGCATTGAGCAGCTCTGCCTTCCTATCATCTTCCATTACCTGCTCACCTTTTCCATTGAGCAGCGCACCCACTCCGTCCTTGTGCTTTCTTTTTTGTGTGACATATCTGTAGAACCCCTTCTTCTTGTCTCTAACATTCCTTGCCAGTTGTAACGCCTGCTTTGCCTTGGCTTTCCTGATACATGGGCTGTCCCATGTGTATTTCCTTGGTGACATGCCCTTCCTTCCATTTCCTGGGTGGATCCCTTATCGTTTTTAAAAGCTCCCTGGTATCCAGATCCTACAGGTCAAGACCAAGGCCCAGAGACCTAGTGGGAGCCACTGGAGATCACACGGCCCACTTGCTCCCTGGGAGAAGCAGTGTGTAATACATTCTGCACCAGCTGCAGGTTCTGAGTGGCCTTCAGGTACACCCTATGTGGAACTAATGGCACTGACCCAACTTTCAGGGGACATAGGCCTGGAGAGCTACCATGGGGTCTGCCACCGAGGGGCCAGCTCGCAGTGGGGCAGGAAGGGCCCTAAACAGCAGGGCGAGAGAGCCGGGGCTAGTGAAAGCCCTGGAGTGATGGAGGCCCCTGAGAACAGATGATCAGACAGACTTTCTGCCATCTAACATGCAATCAAGTGAACAGCGTCGGCTAATCACAGCTCCCCCCAGGGCAAGGAGCCAGGCCTTGAGGCCGCACCGTGTGTCGGCACAACCCAGATGGAGACGTCTGCAGATGAAAGCAAGGCTGATGTAAGGACATGATGAAATAAACGAGACCCAAAGATCATGCCCAGCCTGTTCTCAGGGACAGCTGTCTCCCGGGAAGGAGTCACCATGCTGAATGACTCAACGGAAAGGTCCAAGGCAGTGCGGCAGAAGCAGATCCCAGCTGGAGACAGCAGCCAGGCGAGGAGCTCCAAGGAGCTGGGAGCACATGGGGCATTTCTCACCTGCTCCGGGCATGCCCAAGAAGCTGTAAGAGGAGATGAACCCGGTTCCCCTCTCACTAACATTGGTGTGGATCAGCGGAGCTGCCCCAGGTCAAAACCACCTAAACGAGGGGAGAATCGGGCACTGTGAGATACTGAGAAAACAGCAGCGCTGAAAGAGGCCTGGGAGGGCAGAGATGCCAGTCAGGGCACAATGCCTGGGGATCAGAAACTGCGAATCCGTAGAGCCATTGTGGCCATGCTGCTGCCAGCACCAGTAACATGGGACGAGCTGGAGGAGCACAGGGCTTGGCCATGCCAAGTTCCCCCAGAGTCTGTAGGAGAGAGAGTGCCCGTTTCTAGACCCGGTGGATGGACGGGGGGGTTAGCCCAGGACAATGGGCTACAGACAGGTGACTTGCCAAAGTCTGCACTCCATCCAACTTGGTCTCCTGGTGCTGACAGTGGCCAGCGCCAGCTGCACCAAAGCGAGGAGCAAGAACCCAGGCAGGAGGCAGTGACGGGATAACCTGCCCCAGGGGGAAATTCCTGACCCCTGACGGTTAGAGAGAGAAAAGTTCCCAGCCTTTATTTCTGTAACTCTGATTGTTCTCATTATCCAGGTGACCCTTCACTGATCCCTGCTAAACCCTTGGTCTCAACCACATATAAGAACATAAGAACGGCCGTACCGGGTCAGACCAAAGGTCCATCTAGCCCAGTATCCTGTCTTCCGACAGTGGCCAATGCCAGGTGCCCCAGAGGGAGTGGACCTAACAGGCAATGATAAAGTGATCTCTCTCCTGCCATCCATCTCCACCCTCTGACAAACAGAGGCTAGGGACACCATTCCTTACCCATCCTGGCTAATAGCCATTAATGGACTTAACCACCATGAATTTAGCCAGTTCTCTTTTAAAGAGAATGGTGGCAGTGGGTTCCACGGGCTAATTACACACAGTGTAACGGTATTGCCTTTGATCAGTTTTAAATGTTCTGCCTGTCAGTTTCATTGACTGTTGCCATGTTCTTGTGTTGTGAGAGGGTCAATACAAGTGCCCCATTTGCTCTACCCCATTCCTTATCCTTTCCCCAGGTATTCGGCTCCTCTCAGAACAAAACACCCCGTCATTTGCCAGGAGAGCTGCAGGAGGGGCAAGATCACGCAGGGTCTGTTCTCATTTCTGTCCATCTCAGGTGCTATCACTGTAGTATCTGAAGCCTCACAACCTGAACCTTCAGTGCCTTGATCCTCACAGGCCCTGCATGCAGCAAGCAGTGTTACAGCGACTGGTTCAGTTAAACCTTGCTATGGGTCAGGCCTGGGCACCACCTTGCGTGGAGGATAGATGTAAAGAAATCATTGTAAGGAGGTCGCTGAAACAATAGCAGTAGCCCCCCAAAACACAGGCACATGGAAATGGTGTGTAGAAGCTAAAACATGTGGCCCAAGAGGATTGGTGGAAGGGTGTGGGGGGGATAGGGGTGAGGGGTGAGAGAGAGGGAGGGCATGTTGAAGCAGCAAGAGAAAGCCAAGTAGACAGTAACAGACAACTAGTAATGTGGCCATGAGCGAGAGCTAAGAGAGACAGCTCTTTGGGCGCAGAGCGCTGGTGGCTAGGCAGACACGGGCTCCTGCTGTTTGATTTCTATGTTCAGGGGAACAAGACTTCGTACACCTTTTGTAAATCAACAAGACTGCACCAAAGAAATCCCTGACTCTCACCAATTCATCCTCCGACCTGGAACAACGACCAAGAGCCCCAACTTTTGGCTAGCTTCTCAGGTCACAAAGGGCAACACTGTTATCCCCACGGGTACAGAAAAAATCTGAAACCCAGAGATTGATTTCAATGGGAGTTAGGCACCAAAATACCTGGAAAATCTGGCCGTTGGGTCTTGATTTCACTGTGGCATCAAGAGAGGGTTGGAAATGTACATGGACGATGAGAACAACCCGAGTTACAGAAATAAAAGCTGGTAATTCCTGCTGCCTGGTTAGCCCAGCCTTGCCCCAAACCCTCGCCAGGGGGGCCACATGGAACTTGCTGGGAAGTCAAACCCCACCCCACTGCCTGGGGTACATGCCGGAATCCTGGCAGCTTCTCACCAAGCCCTAGAAAATGTCCACGGTGCTGTGTCCTCTCTAGCGCCGGTAGCAGCGGAAGGGCTAGAAGAGCTCGCCATGGAACGAGCAGGCCCGGGCACAGCCAGCCCGGGGAGCAGACAAGCTCTCCTGCGAGGAGACCCCCCGCCCCCCACTCCTGCACAGCTCACAGCCCCCCCGGACGAGGAGGCAGTGGCGCCTAGCAGCACCCGTTCTGTGCCTCGGGGAGTCACAGCCTTGACAGCGTTGGTGAGTAATTTGGAAATGTTGCAAACAGAGACTCCCCCCCCCATCCCCCGGTCCCACGACTGGGGCGAGTCGAGGGAGCGCGGCTGCCCAGCGGAACGGCAGCCGGGGCAGAGCACCCGCAGCAGCGGGAACTGGGCCAGTGGGTGTTTGCAGGACAGGACAGCTAGGCCTGGCCCCTCTTAGCTGGCAGGGATTAGGCTCGGGACCCTCCGCAGGTCCTGACCACAGTGCAGGGAATTCCCCCCCCGGGAGGCCTGTCTGCTGGGACGGTGCCTCTGGATCACAGTGCCAAGGCCATCGCTTCCCTTTCTGCCAAGGTGCTGCATAAATCCAGGGGGACGTGAGGAGCGAACGCAGCTGGGGGGGGTTCAGGAGGGGCCACGGGGTGCTGGCCTCTGCTGGCCCCGGGGGGGGACCGGGGGGGAGATCACACTGACCTGTGGCCTGCAGCCTCCTCGCCAGCTCATTGGTGAACAGGATGTTCATGAGCTTGGTGCTACTGTAGCACTGGTCAAAGTTCTTGGGCCTCTCCTCCCCGGCCAGGTGCTTCACGTTGACCATGCCCCCGACGTGTCTGAAGGACGAGACGTTCACGATGCGGGCGGGAGCGGAGCCCTTCATGGTGTCTGTGCGGGGGAGGGGCAAAGCCAACAGGCTCGTGTCAGGGGGTGGCGTGGTGGGGGAGGGCTCCCACATGGCCGGGGAGAAGCCCCAGCTCAGAGAGACCCTTGGGCACAGACGGGGAGTCGGCTAGCAGCCCCGGCACAGCCAGCGCAAGACCTGGGTCCATGCCCCAGGGGAATGCCAGGGGCAGCAGGGCAGCCCTCCCCCAGTCCTGCAGCACCCAATGCCTGGGGCAGCCCCGCAAGTGCCCAGTGCAGCCCCTCCCCCAGCCGAGCGAGTGCCCAGTGCCTGGGGCAGCCCTTACCCAGAAGCAAATTGGTCAGAAGAAAAGGGCCCAAGTAGTTGGTGGCGAACGTCTGCTCCAGCCCCTCGGAGGTGATGGAGAACGGCAAACCTGGAAGAGAAGAGGGGACTGGCTGGGCAGTCGGGAGTGGCTGCCATTCGGATTCGTGCTCCCTGCCCGCCACAGCCCCAGGCTGAGCGGAGACAGCTGCTTTCTGCTAAGCCTTGTCTGTTCACTGGTACCACCTCCCACGTGTCTGTCCCAGCCCCGGCCGGGCTGTGGCCTGCAGGCTGAGTGCTCTGGTGGAGCGCCTGGCCCAGTGGGCCCCGCTCCCTGATGGGGTACTTCAGTGCCACTGTCAGACCGGGAATAACCTCGGCGTGGGATCTGCCGCGGGCTGGGTCATGAACAAAGCTCTCCCAGCCACCCAGGGAGACCTGGCAGCTTCGGCGAGACGACGTGTAGAGGTCACCGTGGCAAGGGCCAGCCGTGCCACGTGCCCGGTTAGCAATGGGGTATTGGGCTGGTGCTGGGCACCTCACAGCAGGCCCGCCTGTCTGTTGGGGTAACTGGGCGACAAAAGTACCCGACTTGTGAGCTCTGCTATGGAAAGCAAGTGCGCGGTCGTAGGATGTGACCGTAACCGACAACAACGACCGCGGAGGGGCAAAGGCGGGACAGGCTGAATGAGCACAAAGAGAAAGGCCTCATGACGGAACTCAAGAACTGTGCTAAGCCCGAGCCTGGGCAAGGAGAATAGCACAGAACCAGAAATCAGGGGATCCAGATTGGTGCGTTGGAAACTAGACCTTGCTGCTGGACAGGATAATGAGGGGACGGGCTGGGATGACACGGGCTTGGACATTAACAGCAGCAGCAGCTCCAGCCTGTCTCAACTAAAGTCTTCTCCTTTCCCCAGAACCACAGTTATCACCAGCTTTCGCTGGTTTCTCTTCTTTTCTGTATCTTTAATAACCGGCTAAACGGACGTTTAATGGGGTGTTTGCCATGGCGCTAAGTAGGCTGAGGTCTGCGTGTACCAAACTCCAACCTGGTGTAAACACTGTGTAATGTGGCTGGGTTACGTTAACACCTTTAGCCCATATAGTTCATCGAAATTCATACATTTCTGGCACCCAGTGTGGAGCCTAGAGGGTTCATACATACTCAGAAGCCAGCACCTTAGCAAACAACTGGAGGTTGCTTATCTGTACCCGGAGGTTCTTCGAGATGTGCGGCCCCAGTCTGTATTCCATGCGTGGGGTACACATGCACACCTGGGCCTGAAGCCAGAATTTTCTTAGCAAGCCGTGTCCGTTGATCCGCACATGAACCAAACTGAGGGTATAAATGGCCATGCAGCCTGGTGCCTCTCCAGTTCCTTCTCTTACAGCAAATCCAGATAATTGGCAGTAGAGGGGATGGAGAATCATAGAATATCAGGGTTGGAAGGGACCTCAGGAGGTCATCTAGTCCAACCCCCTGCTCAACGTAGCACCAATCCCCAACTAAATCATCCCAGCCAGGGCTTTGTCAAGCTGGGCCTTAAAAACCTCTAAGAAAGGAGATTCCACCACCTCCCTAGGGAACCCATTCCAGTGCTTCACCACCCTCCTAGTGAAAAAGTTTTTCCTAATATCCAACCTAAACCTCCCCCACTGCAACTTGAGACCATTACTCCTTGTTCTGTCATCTGCCACCACTGAGAACAGTCTAGATCCATCCTCTTTGGAACCCCCTTTCAGGTAGTTGAAAGCAGCTATCAAATCCCCCCTCATTCTTCTCTTCTGCAGACTAAACAATCCCAGTTCCCTCAGCCTCTCCTCATAAGTCATGTGTTCCAGCCCCCTAATCATTTTTGTTGCCCTCTGCTGCACTCTTTCCAATTTTTCCACATCCTTCTTGTAGTGTGGGGCCCAAAACTGGACACAGTACTCCAGGTGGGTGTGGGATACAGATGGGACCACACATCTCAAAGAACCTCCAGTTACAGGTAGGTAACCTCCATTTCTTCTTCAAGTGCGCAGGAGCTTAGCAAGCAGTGGTCAAACAGGAGGTGGGTGGGAGGAGGCATAAGAACATAAGAACATAAGAACGGCCGTACAGGGTCAGACCAAAGGTCCATCTAGCCCAGTATCCTGTCTACCGACAGTGGCCAATGCCAGGTGCCCCAGAGGGAGTGGACCTAACAGGCAATGATCAAGTGATCTCTCTCCTGCCATCCATCTCCATCCTCTGACAAACAGAGGCTAGGGACACCATTCCTTACCCATCCGGGCTAATAGCCATTAATGGACTTAACCACCATGAATTTATCCAGTTCTCTTTTAAACGCTATTATAGTCCTAGCCTTCACAACCTCCTCAGGTAAGGAGTTCCACAAGTTGACTGTGCGCTGCGTGAAGAAGAACTTCCTTGTATTTGTTTTACACCTGCTGCCTATTAATTTCATTTGGTGACCCCTAGTTCTTGTATTATGGGAATAAGTAAATAACTTTTCCTTATCCACTTTCTCCACATCACTCATGATTTTATATACCTCTATCATATCCCCCCTTAGTCTCCTCTTTTCCAAGCTGAAGAGTCCTAGCCTCTTTAATCTCTCCTCATATGGGACCCATTCCAAACCCCTAATCATTTTAGTTGCCCTTTTCTGAATCTTTTCTAGTGCCAGTATATCTTTTTTGAGATGAGGAGACCACATCTGTACGCAGTATTCGAGATGTGGGCGTACCATCGATTTATATAAAGGCAATAATATATTCTCAGTCTTATTCTCTATCCCCTTTTTAGTGATCCCTAACATCCTGTTTGCTTTTTTGACCGCCTCTGCACACTGCACGGACATCTTCAGAGAACTATCCACGATGACTCCAAGATCTTTTTCCTGACTTGTTGTAGCTAAATTAGCCCCCATCATATTGTATGTATAGTTGGGGTTATTTTTTCCAATGTGCATTACTTTACATTTATCCACATTAAATTTCATTTGCCATTTTGTTGCCCAATCACTTAGTTTTGTGAGATCTTTTTGAAGTTCGTCACAGTCTGCTTTGGTCTTAACTGTCTTGAGCAGTTTAGTATCATCTGCAAACTTTGCCACCTCACTGTTTGCCTCTTTCTCCAGATCATTTATGAATAAGTTGAATAGGATTGGTCCGACGACTGACCCTTGTGGAACACCACTAGCTACCCCTCTCCATTCTGAGAATTTACCATTAATTCCTACCCTTTGTTCCCAGTCTTTTAACCAGTTCTCAATCCATGAAAGGACCCTCCCTTTTATCCCATGACAGCTTAATTTATGTAAGAGCCTTTGGTGAGGGACCTTGTCAAAGGCTTTCTGGAAATCTAAGAACACTATGTCCACTGGATCCTCCTTGTCCACATGTTTGTTGAACCCTTCAAAGAACTCTAATAGATTAGTAAAACACGATTTCCCTTTACAGAAACCATGTTGACTATTGCTCAACAGTTTATGTTTTTCTATCTGTCTGACAATTTTATTCTTAACTATTGTTTCGACTAATTTGCCTGGTACAGACGTTAGACTTACCGGTCTGTAATTGCCGGGATCACCTCTAGAGCCCTTTTTAAATATTGGCATTACATTAACTAACTTCCAGTAATAGACTGACCAGGGAGATTGAAGTGTTCACTTACTGGCTTTAACACTTCAATCTCCCTGGTCATTCTATTACAGATTTAAAAGTCACTATCATTGAACAAAAAAACTTCAGAAACAGACTTCAAAGAGAAACAGCAGAACTAAAATTCATTTGCAAATTTAACACCATTAATCTGGGCTTGAATAGGGACTGGGAGTGGCTGGCTCATTACAGAAGCAGCTTTTCCTCTCCTGGAATTGACACCTCCTCATCCATTATTGGGAGTGGACTACATCCACCCTGATTGAATTGGCCCTGTCAACACTGGTTCTCCACTTGCGAAGTAACTCCCTGCTCTCCATGTGTCAGTATATAATGCCTGCATCTGTAACTTTCACTCTATGCATCTGAAGAAATGAGGTTTTTACCCATGAAAGCTTATGCCCAAATAAATCGGTTAGTCTTTAAGGTGCCACCAGACTCCTTGTTGTTTTTTTAAGGGTAAGTGGATATTCCAGGACAGCAGGGACCCAAGCAGCTCTGGAGATAATGGTCCTTGCTGAGCTCAGGAGGAGAAATGCCTCCATTTTGCTGAGTAACATTTCCTAGTCGAGTCTTTCCTGCTTTGGTCGAGGATGCTTTGCACCCTGTTGCAACATGAGCTCTCTACAGCAGACACCCATCCAACCGCCAGGCTCTGAGCGGCTGTGTGTCTGGATTGGGGTGCTTGGAAGTGCCCACGGGTCATGTTAGAAGGTCCAAAATGGGCAGATGTTTGTGGGCGTGGAGCTGAGAGCTTCAGTAGATGCATAAAGCAGAACTGTCTCAGCAACAATAAGGATGACTCAAGCTCTGTCCTGGCAGATTTTCCGTAGGGTATGACTGGAATGGGAGGGAACGGGAAGGCATGCCTCAGGAGATCCTTCCAGAATAGCAGGAAGGCATCTCCCATCTCTCTCACACACACACCTAAGAAGACAAAGGAACCAGCCCTTTGACTTTGGGGGGATCCGGACCTGAGAATTTGGTCCCCCTGTTGCTGGGAACGTGTGGTGAGGATTTTAGCTTGAATCAAGTCTAGCTTGTTAAGTTTTAGCTACTAGGGAGATTTTTATCTTTATTTCTCTTGTGCCCATTTCTGACTGTAATGCCTTACACTTCCTCTTCCCAGGCAAGCCCAGGTGCTTGTGGAAACATGGGGAGGAAAGGAGGGCAAAGTTAGCCAAGCTCATGATGGGTTTGGTTTGGGCCAAGTTAGATACAGGACATCCTTGCTCCTGTCAGATGTAAGATCTTCTGAAGATCAAAGAGCAGAGTCCATTTCTGTTTTGGGGTTCTAGCAGGAGCAGAAAGAGCTGAAATATCACAAGGAAGGTGGTTTTCATAGGCAGATAGCCATCCAGGTGCCCAAGGAACTATGTTCTATACAGCCCCCTCCCCTCCAAAAGCACATTGATGGTCCTCAGAAATTATTTCTGGCCCTTCTTGGAAGCAAGGGAGTGC